TGGATGAAATAGTTGACCACGAAAGTTGAACACTCCCCCGACTTTCCCTTGGTCAGTTGGCCGCGCAGTACAACACTTAGTTGTGATGCGTAAGTTATGCGTTGATATCCGCATCGGAAAAATGAAACGAAGATAATTCGAACGCTTTCGTGAGTCAACCAATTCTGAAAAGCATACTGTAAACAAATTATATATGGGTGTGGGTTCATATAATTATTAGCCTTGAATATATTAAGAGATAAACATAATATCGGATAATGGAATTAACATGATAGGGACTCAGGCATCCCATACGTTTGTGAATAAGCTATTTGCACGCTATCCAATTTTCACATAATTTTATACCTATCACATATTTTACCAATGAAAAATTTCAGTAATAATTGGTAAAACTTAATCATGTTAAAATTCGTAAATATGAAGTTAAGGGAGAACCCATAGAGACACAATCTACTTATTTGCACATTAGACAATCAGGCTCCGGAAAGGTGCACGTTTGCCACATGCTCTAATTAAATTCCATTAGTATGCATTCTTGATTTTCAAAATGAATGCAGACTGGATCTAGTTAAACTCTGTCCGTCATCGGTAGTCTCTTTGAGGAGCATGTTAGTAAATAGCGACTTAGCATCCAGTAAAGATTTCGAGGATCTCCTGATCTCCTTATTTCGAGGATCACCTGATTCCTGTTATCCTTGAAAATAAGTCGACAAATTCCCTCTGAAATTTAAGGCTGAAAGCACATTGTGTCAGCTGTATGTCGAGTAGCTTCGCCAGTCTGTATGATGATGTATTTGTCTGGCTGATGATCGGACGAAGTGGGTTTCCATGTTCATGGGTCTGACAGTCCTTTAGGCTTAAGCTCTCCTGTAGCTTACAGCAGATGGTGAACAGATCATTTTTGGCACTAGCAGCTTCACTCAATGAGTTTTCCTCCGTTTTCACTTCCTTCGAGTGATGTTTTGGAATTCAGGTTGAGGTTTTCCTCAATACGTTAACTTTTGAGAATTACACATATTGTCGATTTATCTCTTCGTCTAACAATTATTTCATTTTCCTCACGAAAGTTTTTAGCTGTCGTTTTGAGCTCTGGACAAGTATTGTTCAGTAGTAGTAGACTCGAGACTTCCTCCATGGGTCAAAAGCTCTGTTTGTAATGGATCCTTAGTGGTGACCTTCCGTTGTCTTTCAAGATCAAATACATCGTCAAGCAGGATCATCAGTTCCAGCTTCTCGCCATCTTATTTGGTCAACATAATGTGGCAGTTTATTACCAAATTTTAGAGAGTAATTTGGGATGCAGTGGGATTCATTCCAGCGAGTTTCAGGAAACTATATGTGGGTCGTGGAACCTCAATGGGACCATTAAACAAAGACGCAAGTTTCCAATGGTCCTCGTCTCAGTACTGAGGCGATACGTCGGTCTGTTAGCTAGTCGAAGTATCGGGAGATGTAGTTTGGAGGTCGCCGTCGATGTTATGTCATAAGTTGGTCTATTGGTATAAGTTGGTTGGTCAGGCAGGTATATATACCTGCCAGCAGTTGCTGCACTGTGTGAATCTGATATCTAATTGTGATGGCTTCGTGTCTTGCAGCTGGGTCTTGTATTCTGATATTAGTATATTATGGAAACATTCTTTTTTACAGAAATATTTTATTGAATATAACCGACCCAGCAGCAAGGCACCAAGCCTTCACCGTCAAATATTTCCAGGATCTAATTCAAAATTATTTTCACAAGCTGAGAAATAAATTAGTGTATTAAAAATGCAGCAGCGCAAGATATCGAGAAATTGATGAAAAACGACGTCGACCACGACCTTCGGACCAACATCAACACACACAGTACCCTATAAGAGACAGTGCACAAGTAGGAGATGCAGGCAGGAGTGAAAGGCAAAGTGCTCCAGTACATAAGAGAGTACATAAGAATCAGAAGAGAGCGAGTCACTGTACGGCTAAGATCTTCGAGTGACGAGATATCACCAACGGATTCCAAGAGTGAATCGGGGAGAAAGTAACACCTTCGGGTTGATATCCCACCGAACCTCTCTCCTGATGCCCACATCAATTGGATAATAATCAGCGGCGTATGCAAGGCTGGCCAAAATGAGAACTGCCATTAGATTTAAGCAACTAAAAGTAAGCAACTATTCATGACAATTTATAGCCCATGAGTCAGACCAATCCTGGAATCTACGGCTCCAGCTTGGCGTCTTTAAGCAAAATACAAGACGAAGTTGAGGTAGGCTCAGAAGTACTACCAGACTATTCACCGTGAGCTAGAAGGTATGAGCTACGAAGAAAGACTTTAGGAATTAAACTTCACGTTGGTGAAAGGCAGAAGATTTAGGGAAGAACTGATAATTACCTTACCCTATTAACTAACTAATAATTCTCAAGAAATTGCGAATTTTGTTTTTTAGTATGGGTGGTACCCGAATGAAGGGACAAAGACGGCAATTTGAGTTATCTTGAGGTTATCTTGAGATGATTTCGGGGCTTTTTTTTTTAGTGTTCCCGCGGCCCGATCCTCGACCAGGCCTCCACCCCCAGGAAGCAGCCCGTGACAGCTGACTAACACCCAGGTACCTATTTTACTGCTAGGTAACAGGGGCATAGGGTGAAAGAAACTCTGCCCAATGTTTCTCGCCGGCGCCTGGGATCGAACCCAGGACCACAGGATCACAAGTCCAGCGTGCTGTCCGCTCGGCCGACCGGCTCCCTACCAACAAATAAAAAACACTGAAAAGGGAATTGGTGGAGGAAGCTCTATATTGTTTCAAGCTGTACGTGCTAGTGGTCACGGTACTGTGTACGTTTAGGGGTGATCCTGGACGGCATAGGTTCGAATCCTGGCCAGGTCAGAGAGTTCTTAGTGATTATATATATATATATATATATATATATATATATATATATATATATATATATATATATATATATATATATATATATATATATATGTCGTACCTAATAGCCAGAACACACTTCTCAGCCTACTATGCAAGGCCCGATTTGCCTAGTAAGCCAAGTTTTCATGAATTAATTGTTTTTCGTCTACCTAACCTACCTAACCTAACCTAACCTAACTTTTTCGGCTACCTAACCTAACCTTACCTATAAAGATAGGTTAGGTTAGGTTAGGTAGGGTTGGTTAGGTTCGGTCATATATCTACGTTAATTTTAACTCCAATAAAAAAAATGACCTCATACATAATGAAATGGGCAGCTTTATCATTTCATAAGAAAAAAATTAGAGAAAATATATTAATTCAGGAAAACTTGGCTTATTAGGCAAATCGGGCTTTGCATAGTAGGCTGAAAAGTGCGTTCTGGCTACTAGGTACGACATATATATATATATATATATATATATATATATATATATATATATATATATATGTCGTACCTAGTAGCCAGAATGCACTTCTCAGCCTACTATGCAAGGCCCGATTTGCCTAATAAGCCAAGTTTTCCTGAATTAATATATTTTCTCTAATTTTTTCCTTATGAAATAATAAAGCTACCCATTTCATTATGTTTGGGGTCAATTTTTTTTTATTGGAGTTAAAATTAACGTAGATATATGACCGAACCTAACCAACCCTACCTAACCTAACCTAACCTATCTTTATAGGTTAGGTTAGGTTAGGTAGCCGAAAAAGTTAGGTTAGGTTAGGTTAGGTAGGTTAGGTAGTCGAAAAACAATTAATTCATGAAAACTTGGCTTATTAGGCAAATCGGGCCTTGCATAGTAGGCTAAGAAGTGCGTTCTGGCTACTAGGTACGACATATATATATATATATATATATATATATATATATATATATATATATATATATATATATATATATATATATATATATATATATATATGTCGTACCTAGTAGCCAGAACGCACTTCTGGGCCTACTATGCAAGGCCCGATTTGCCTAATAAGCCAAGTTTTCCTGAATTAATATATTTTCTCTAATTGTTTTCTTATGAAATGATAAAGCTACCCATTTCATTATGTATGAGGTCAATTTTTTTTTATTGGAGTTCAAATTAACATAGATATATGACCGAACCTAACCAACCTACCTAACCTAACCTAACCTATCTTTATAGGTTAGGTTAGGTTACGTAGCGGAAAATGTTAGGTTAGGTTAGGTTAGGTAGGTTAGGTAGTCGAAAAAACATTAATTCATGAAAACTTGGCTTATTAGGCAAATCGGGCCTTGCATAGTAGGCTGAGAAGTGCGTTCTGGCTACTAGGTACGACATATATATATATATATATATATATATATATATATATATATATATATATATATATATATATATATATATTTCTCCACACACCCCAGAAGGATTCGAACCTAGACAGCCAGCAGCACTATGCCTTGGCGTCCCTGGTACCTTAACCACTAGACCACACGATTGTACAAAAATCTTGGTAGTCGTGAGACTATTTATCCAAGATCCGACAGCGCTCCGTGGTCAACTTGGGCATAGATATTTTATCGAATTACCTCACTTGGTCGGCCACGTGAGCAACACAAATGCGATTAAGCTTGAATGGGTCCCTAGCCAATATGCAACTGAAAACTGCACGCCCCAGAATAATTCGAACCCCGACAGAAATCCCTAGAAAATTGGTTCAAACTGAACCATGGAAAATTCAAACAGAATAATTTCCCATCCACTAAAGCTATTGAATGAGGCATCATTAAATTTCATTTAATGATGCACTCAATTTCTTTATTTAAATACCTGCTAAACAAGATGTGTTATTATTATTATTATTATTATTATTAATAAAACAAATTACTTATGTTGTTTGTTGAAATTCAACTCTCTGGAATTTATGAAAAAAATATGTATTTACTGTTTGTTTAAGTACACAGACAGGAAATGAAAAGGACCGTAGTAATGTTAATAATGTATTTATTATTAAGAGCATCTTAAAGTACCAGCCAGTGTGTCTATCCCGGCTACAGCTTCCATCAGTTCATCAGCGACCGTAACCATATCCGCCACCATGACCATATCCACCACCGTATCCACCACCGTAGCCGCCACCGTAGCCACCACCGTAGCCGCCGCCATAGCCGCCACCATAGCCTCCACCATAACCTCCACCATAACCATATCCACCTTTAGCACCGTGAACGCCAGCGTTTCCAGGACCACCAAAACTGTAACCACCCTTGCCCCTCAAGACAAAGTTGGCATGAGAATATCCATATCCACCATGGCCACCATATCCATATCCACCATGGCCGCCATATCCACCAGGAGAGCCCAGACAGGCGGCCACCATCATGGCTGCGATGGCTGTCAGGAGTAAAAGTTTCTGAAAATGAAAAAATCAAAGACTCAGACATTTGAACACAATACAAAAGACACTCACACGTGACCACGCTAAAACGTGGTTTAACTTAACATTATTTCTTGTTTAATTAATGTAGCTATATTTTTACTTTTAGTTTTAAGCGAACCAATTAAAAGGAAATTAGATTAATCAGAAAACTATTAATTGGAATTGTGAATTATATTTTTTTTACATGGTTTCAATAAACTGTTTTAATTATTATTCGTTTTTTTTTAATACGAAGCTGGAACTTTAGGAGAGTTACCAATGGTCATTAATAACTAGAAAGTATTTGATTAACATAATTCGCAAATGGTAAGGGTAATGAATGAAACGTCCAAATACGAGATGAATAATGGTATGTGTGCACAGAACTTTGTTACTGTATGTTTTTTTGTTTCGTAATTTGATCTGTGACCACGAGTTTTTTCCCTGGGCCACACACACACATACACACACACACACACACCCACACACACACACACACACACACACACACACACACACACACACACACACACACACACACACACACACACACACACACACACACACACACACACACACACACACACACACACACACACACACACACACACACACACACACACACAAATATATATTAATACATTCAAAACCCAATGCAATATTGACAAGTCAGTACAAGTAAAGAGTTACCATCTTAGTGTATATTTGTTCGTGGTGGAATCAGCCAATGAACTGAAGTCTCGATCCTGACGACAAGTTTATATACACATATATACACCCTCCGCCTACCTCCAGAACCCCCCGGGGGAGCGACCAACACCTGTGACAAAGACCACCATTGTTTACCTCAAGGTGGCTGGCGAAATGCCCCAAATGATATATTTTTTTACTTTCTTTTAAATGTCACAGGTACATTTTTTTAGAATTAAAAAAATCAAATGAAGGTATGATGTTCAACGTGTATGGTGGCATGGCATGATGTTCAACGTGTATGGTGGCATGGCATGATGTTCAACGTGAATGGTGGCATGGCATGATGTTCAACGTGTATGGTGGCTGGGGCATGATGTTCAACGTGTATGGTGGCAAGGTATGATGTTCAACGTGTATGGTGGCAAGGTATGATGTTCAACGTGTATGGTGGCATGGCATGATGTTCAACGTGTATGGTGGCAAGGTATGATGTTCAACGTGTATGGTGGCAAGGAATGATGTTTAACGTGTATAGTGACAAGGGCATGAATATTTAGAGCTAGTTACAGGGTTTCAGTTTGCAATGGTATGCTTCAGTTTATACTTTTCCTCTCTAAGTATACGGTGATATGAGAGGTCTGCGAAGGTCATTTTTTTGTTTTGTTTTTTAAAGGTTTATTGTCTACGAGAGACGAGGCCATTGATTTATACACTTCTAACCAGCATATTTGTATACATTCCTGTCGTCCATAAACAAAGTTAGAGATTTGTTAGAATCATTTATAGTGTTGTTACTTATCGAGACAATTATCTTCACTGATCTCCACCCATGAAGGTAATTGGCGTTTGCATAATTGAGGTCGTGACGGCTGTGTTCTTAGCCTGAGCATTCCAAGATGAAACATTGGGGTATATGATTGTAACAGACCAGTCAGGGGTTGGCCTCAGTGCCACGCTCTAAGATATTTCGCCATCGATTGGAACCCCCCATGTAATTTTAATGAGGTCTGAAATCGAGGGATTTGATTTCTGAAGAGATTTAAAAGCAACTCTAATATGTGTTACAAATCCATGGAGAACAGACGAAAATGCATATATGCAGGTTAGCAGTGTAAATGTATGGCCACGTCTGTGGTAGAAAATAATAATAATAATAATAATAAATATCTATTGTTTCAGAGCCAAATGCAGTAAAACGATAGTGTTATTATTCCGTATGTCATGGCTTTCTGTGTCTCTTTAAAGAAAGGCGCTCCATCATTTTTATTTTCACTGTAATGAACGTAGTTTTTTCAGCCCGGACTACCAGCCATTATGGGACCGAGTACGTAAGTTTAGTAATAGTATTTTTTACATTTTGTATTTTTGGTCAAATTTGACTTTACTCTAATAATATTTATAATTGTAAAAATTAAGATATCTGCTCTTATTTGTTTGGTTTCGTCTTGATGATTGTTTACAAGCATGAAGATTCATATTTGTTTCTTAAACATTCTTAATAATAAATATTTTAAAACGTGTGTCGGATTTGAAATTTTGGCTTCATAATTGAAAAAAAATATATGTAGGCATTTAAGATTTTTGGTTGAAAAAGCAATTAATTTTCAAGATTTCTTTGTGGTGCAAATAAACAATGCAGCGATGAAAAATATGCCTAACTACATCAATTGATTCCCTAAGAATAATTATTTTCCAATTTTTCATTTGAGTCATGAATATCTCATCTGAGTCACTCTACTTTGGTATTATAAGATTACCGAGCTTAAAGTGAGCATCACCATATATATACATATATATATATATATATATATATATATATATATATATATATATATATATATATATATATATATATGTATAGTAGTAGGCACACATCAGTCTCAGGAGACTATGGAGTTGCGCTCTGGTTGTCGGTCTGGAGTGGCCTCACCAGGACTCATAGCTAGGGAAGGTTGATAGGGAGGAGAAGCTGTTGCCCAAGCAGCAGGTTCCCCCTCTCCACGGCGCCGAAAGTCTCCAATGGAAAGGCAAACGCCAATACGATTGGTTCCGGCGCCGTCGCAGGAAGTGAGAGCTCCAGAGTTGACCTCGAAGTTGGAGAACGAAGGCACTGGGACTCCAAACCCGGAGACCGCCGTGGTCGCGGCCGTAGAAGAACCACCCCATCAAGGGCGTGATTGACTCCAGTCTCCTTAAGCAGAGCCTGGGCCGCACGACCCCCGGGAGGAGGACGGCCCGGTCCTGCACCTACGGGTACCAGTCAGAGATCGTCACAGCTCCCTTTCACCCGAGGCCGGCTTCCTTCAAGAGCAAGTAGAAAGAAGAGTGATAATTATTAAATACAACAATTATTATATATATAATATATATATATATATATATATATATATATATATATATATATATATATATATATATATATATATATATATATATATATATATATATATATATTCATATATCAGAAACAGTATAGGTCCAAGGACTGACCCTTGCGGGACTCCACTCGTAACGTCTCGCCAATCTGAGACCTCACCTCTCACACTAACTCGTTGTCTCCTGTTGCTTAGGTACTCCTTTATCCAATGGAGTACCTTCCCTTTCACTCCAGCCTGTATCTCCAGCTTTTTCACTAGCATCTTGTGTGGCACTGTATAAAAGGCTTTCTGACAATCCAAACATATGCAGTCTGCCCACCCTTCTCTTTCTTGCCTTATTTTTGTTCCCTGGTCTTAGAATTCAAGTAACCCTGTGAGGCAGGACCTGCCATCCCTGAACCCATCTTGATGCTGAGTTACAAAGTTCTTTCGCTCCAGGTGCTCCACAAGCTTTCTTCACACAATCTTCTTCATCAGCTTGCATGGTATGCAGGTTAGGGACACTGGCCTGTAATTCAGTGCCTCCTGTCTATCCCCTCTCTTGTATATCGAGACTACGTTAGCTGCTTTCCAAATTTCTGGCTGTTCCCCTGTTGCCAGTGATTTGTTATACACTATGGAGAGTGGTAGGCACAGTTCTTCTGCTCCTTCCTTTAGTATCCAAGGGGAGATTCCATCTGGGCCTATAGCCTTTGTCACATCCACTGTGTGTGTGTGTGTACTTAGCTAGACATGCTTGTAGGGTCAAAAGTCATATCTTAATCCCCTCCTTTCGATCCTCTGCGGTTGCATGCAATGACAGTTTTCCAACATCAGGAATGATTCTTGTCGCATATTATAGTACAGTTTCTAGATTAATGTGTTTCTTTAAACGGGAAGGCCATACCATACCATATCTTGAGATCTTGAGGTTATCTTGAGATGATTTCAGGGCTTTAGTGTTCCCGCGGCCCGGTCCTCAACCAGGCCTCCACCCCCAGGAAGCAACCCGTGACAGCCGACTAACTCCCGGGTACCTATTTACTGCTAGGTAACAGGGGCATCAGGGGTGAAAGAAACTCTGCCCATTGTTTCTCGCCGGCACCCGGGATCGAACCCGGGACCACAGGATCACGCGTCCAGTGTTCTGTACACTCAGTAACCAGCCCCAACAACTGTTACTATGGTAACACTTGCTGTTACCAGCAACTGTTACCATGGTAACTTTCTCAAGATAAGTTTTCATAAGCAGGTTTTTGTGCGTTCGTAAGGCTCCTTTGCCAAGGTTCCTGAAGACTATCCTCACTGGACAAATTTGCACAGTTAAAAAGCGTTATTTTTCATGATGTGTTTTTTTTTTTACAGTTGTGTGCGTCGTATTTTTAGATTTGGAATTTTTCGTCCATTTCTCTTTTTTAAATTTAAGCAGCTGACTCGCTTCCATTTTGTACAATACTCTCATAACAATTAATGCATTAAATGGCCACGATATGTTCCACCTCATAACGTTTCTCTGCCAGTCTGAAAGTCCAGTGTTCATATTTCAGACCTCAGTAGGCATGAGAACTTGAGGATATAAGAACTAGAAAGACCATAGAGAACCCTTTGCCTCTTACTAGGAGGGCTCCGTTTGACTCGATCTCTCCCTCGTGTATTAATTAAACCTTTTCATTTTTCGAATCTCTTCAATCTGTCTGTTTCAATATTGACCGGCGCCGAATCTACTTATGTCCAAACCTTTTCTTCCAAATCTCTTTGACCAATCTCCGTGGTGTAGTGGTAAGACACTCGCCTGGCGTTCCGCGAACGCTCTGTCATGGGTTCGTATCCTGGCCGGGGAGGATTTACTGGGCACAAATCCTTAACTGTAGCCTCTGTTTAACTCAACAGTAAAATGTGTACTAGGTTGTAACA